ATGGCAAACCAAACTGAGCAGACCGACTTTGAAAAAATTGTTGCCCCATTGAAATCCACACTTCTAAAAACAAAACACTTTTTACGTATTCAATTACTACTTTTTGGCTGGTCCTCGGAGAGGTATCTGTAGCATGAGCCGCACTGCATGCTGTCTATCTCAGTGTTACTTAGTAAAAGTGCGCTCTGAAAGCTCAACGTGCTGACTGCCGTTGCGGGCATAAAATTTAGTGACCGACTCTTAAGAGCTCGCTCACCAAACATTGTTTTTATTGCAGCTCTTCTTCTGTCCTTTCATAGCAGTGGGTGGCTTAAGCAATACAAGTCTGGCAGTTACAACCAACTCCTCCTCAGCCAGTTGTTGTTTATTACAGCTGAGCTTAGCTGTTTCTCAAGTTTTGTTACTCTTTTTTTAATGTTGTTGACATTTTAGCTGCGCCATTGGCCACGTTAGCTGTTTATATCTCGTAGACATGTGTCGATGTGGTTTGTTTTCAAAACGCCACTCTTAAGTGTGGTTGCAAATTTTGTGAAAAGTTCCTTGGGAAACATCAATAAATTCGAAATTTCAAGTTTTCTACTAGAGTGTATCCGAAAAGGTACGCAATGCTAGGATACCGAAGGCAAACAAACAAAAACCAACTTGAAGCACACAAATGCCAGTTAACTTAGCCCAAAGGCGTAAATATGTTTATTGGCAAAATCCAAAATATTAACGCAGCAAATTGAATGGGTTGTCTATGGAAGGATAAGTTGAAAGCTCATAGCGTAGCAGTTTGTTGTGAGGTTGGTAAACAGGTTTATGTATGTACATAGTGTATGTACTAAAAATCGTAAGCAACAGTAGTATAAGGTAGTAGATTTAACTGGTTGGGCATTTGCTTAAAGTATTAAAAAGTTTTTAAGTGGTACCAAAACTCATGAGAAGTAACCTCGCTGCCACAGAGAGGAGTGTGCTAAGGAAAAGCTGTTCATCTCGATAAAGAATTTGGTAGACAAGAGTGTTGCCGTGATGAAAAAAGTATTGCAATAGATACTCTAATTTTCCTTGAACTTTATTCCACATTTTCAGTGACACAATTAATTTTAAATATTTATAAATGAAATGTTTTTAATGCAATATTTTCTATTTCAGCTTCTTGCATCACCCGCTTAGTTGTGCAAATAATATATATACAGCCTTGACCAAAAGTATTAGGCACCTTACTACTCACTGAATGTTTTGTTTTAACAATAGAAGTAATGAATTTTTTTAGTAGGTTCACTCTTCAATTTTAAAACGTCATCAATTCTCTTAGGCATGCTGCGTCCAAGCTTTGTACATTTGTCCGCACTTATAGCGTACCACTCGTTAATTAAGGCATTCTTTAAGGTAGTTTTTGATGTAATACTGTGTTTCTTAATCTTGGGTTTTGAAAGTGCCCACATGTACTCAATGGGATTAAGGTCTGGAGGCTGTGCAGGCCAATCTAACAAAACAATGTTGTCATCTGCGAGTGCATTCCAAACGATTTTTCCTATTCTTTTCTGATATCCACGGCTTCTTTCGGGCTTTATACGTCCTTTTAAATCTGCTTCCAGAAGTCTTCTTCTAGGTGCTCGAGTACTAACTGGTTTACTAAATTCATCCGAAAGGGCAGCTGCAAGGACAGAAGAAGATTTTCTGCGATCCTTGGGAGAATCGCGTATAAGTATTCGGTCTTCTTGTTTACTGGTTAGACGCTTTCTTTAATTTTTGATTTATGATTGTAGGATTTCGTCTCCACAAATCGCATCGCCTAATAGCTCATTGGACCGCGAACATCCCACCAAATTGGCAATCTCAACGTGAGACTTACCTTCTTCACTTAGAACTTGAAATTATAACTCTATCATCCTAACTAATTTCACTTTTTTTGGCAATTCGGTAAATATGAACTGTTTTTATAAGATTTGCAACTTTTCACTAACATAATTTAGACCTTCACTTTCAAATTTTAAATGAGAAAATAATTTATGGATTTCCTAAAAATGACATTTTTTAGGTTTAGCTTACCGAGAGTGCTATGACTTTTAATTTAAATAAATTTATTCGTTTAATGAATAGTTAAACGCCCATGTAAGATATTTACAAAAAGAAGTGGTAACTTTGATAGCTACATTTCCGAATACTTGTATTTTAGTAGAGTGCCTAATACTTTTGGCCAAGGCTGTAAATATATTTTATTAAAGTCGTTGAAGCAGTTGACGTTCGAGACACTCGTCATATTTTTGGTGTGCATCTTGAAGATTATACAACAAATGATGGGTCCTACAGTTTATTCTAAGCTATCTCAAAACGGCTGATGGATTTTTAAACACACTCAAACGGCTTGAAATTCCGTACCAAGGTACGACCACAATTACAAAAATAAATTTTTCTATAATTTTTAATGTGAAATTTTAAATTAAAAAAAATATTAAAAGGATATCATTAGAAATATTCAAAGCTTTTATGCCTTTGTAAGTAATTTATTTATTCTGCAACAAAAAGCGAAGCAAATTTCCATCGATCGACAGCAACAACGCTTGGAATGAGCGCAGTCCATTAAGTGTGGTGACTAATTAACTTAAATTGCACCATGGTGCCTCTTGCATTACCAAGAAGTATTCGCCAATGTGAACATGGCATGAGAAAGTCTAATTTGCAAGTATATAAATGGTACAGCAAATGTGATTAGCACACGGTCGGTGATGTTGGTGTTAATATACTTTACTGCTGATTTCACACCTTGTTGTGGTTAAAGCGGCTGATACAGGGCCGCTACACTTAAGAATTGCAACATTGTTACTTGCCGGCAGAGCTTTTCACCACTGCTATCGAACTTTTGTCACTAACTTGGCATAGCGCCTTATACGTGCCCATGCAGTTATTACTCAGAGTGTAAAAGATAGTAAGAGAGAGTGTGTGTTTTTGTTGGTATTGGCTACATTGGGGAGACTTCATCTGTGGTGAAAAGCATGGTTACATAAGTACAATGTGGCAAAACGCTCAACAGATTATCCACTTTATAGACATAACCTTATACACACATTCACTTTCGTATTTGGGTTAGTATGTAATTTTAAAAGCATGGAAAGTGTTTATTATAACGGTTAAAATAACCTTACTCAAGCGTAAAATTCTTGTGCCTGCTTTTTATTTTGGTTATATGAGAGCGAATATTTGAACGAAAAACTTTGGGGTTTTCAACCTTGAACTAAATTGAAATTTAATGTAGTCAAAATGTGTATATTGGACCGGTAATAGGCAAATTCACTATAGGCTTGCTTGGGTAACATTAACTTGGGCCTTTGCAGTGCCAGATGGAAGTTCGATTTATTGAGATATAAAATAGTCATCAAAAGAACGGCAGCGCTTTCCATGAAGTTCTAAAGAACCTAAATAATCAATTTAGAATTTTTTTAATAAACGTTCCCTCTGCATTTCCAAGTGCCACAGACCATGATTACCATACTATACCGCATTAGTATCTACTTCCTATTTGCTGTTTAGCACCTACTGAAGAGAACATGTGATAGCAGTTCCTTCTCCATTTGATCATTCCAATGGTGTGGCGGTTTGCTCCTAGATCTGCGTCTACTGGCGGGTGTACTCATAGTTGGGAACTGGTACAAGGACAGCGGACTGGAAGTTAATTCAGAAAAACCGCCTCAAATATCTCAGTATAATCTCAGTTAGCAACTTCAACTGGAGCCGAAACACCGTATAGTGACGGCCACTTGCGAAAATTACTTTCAGAATCAAATTCGAGACAGTTCGAACAGTCGGCTGGTGTCTTGGTAACAGAAGCCCTACCATAAGCCCCCTCAAAAGTACTCCTAACACTTCTCAACTTTCTTCCTTTGGACCTTTATGGGAAATTACAAGTCAGTTGTAACGCAAGTAGATATGATGCAACTCAACCTTGGAGGAAGTGCAGTATAGGACACGCCAGAATAATATTTACTGGACTACACTATCTTCAGTATGAGCTTCGACAATATTTTCTCCCCAATGAAACCCAAATAGCATCAATGTCCTAGCTCTGAAACCAATAGCCATCTTCACAGACGGCTCAAAGATCGCCGCAAAGAGGAGATGTGTCATCTACTCTCCGATGCTCTCAATAAATATGAGTATGAGACTACCAAATCACCAAAGCCACCATCAGATCTCTACAATGTAACAGCACCACCTTAAATTAAGCTATGAAATGTAGAGGCAATCTAAACAAACTCTCGCCTAAATTCAACTCTGTCGTGATCACCCGAACACAACGACATCCCAGACAATTGCTTGACAGCTGAACAAGCGACAGAAGGAAATCTTCTATCTAAAATAAAACATGCCCAAAATGCAGATTAACCTATGTTCACGCCAAAGTGCATGCTTAAACTGGTCTTTGCGAAAAAAACAGAGAGCTATGACCGAAGTTGGGTGTGAAAAAAAGTGAAACAAGCCGCTTCTTAATGGGGTTTCACGCGAAAATATTTGGCTACCACTGTACTGAGTATTGTCGCAGCTGTAATGACGAACGAGAGAGAAAAAGAGAGAAAACACTCCGGTCAACCTTGATATCTGCGCTGCACAAATTCATCGGGAAATACTTCGTAAGGTTCGAAATGGTGCGCACATTTGAGAACGTGAGGAGCCTTGCAGCGTTAGCCTAAGTGCGCTGGTAATGTTCAGGAGCAGCAGTAACGTAATTCACCAGGCTGAAATGTTGCGCAAAACACTTTTTATATTTTTACTATTTTTTATATTTCGTTATGCCCTGGAAACATACCCCAAACGATAATAAATGTGTTTAATTAATACAAACGGAGACAAATGAAAAAATTTTCGAAATTCAATTAAACAAGAACTGCTACTGATAGTAATTTATTTATCATTTACAGACATACACGTATATATATATTTTTTTAATTTTTATCGAACATTATTATTTTTTTAATTCGCGTAAGGTGATGAAAAATATGTTTTAATTTCTTCCAGCACAATTCGAAAATAAAACAAATTACACACAAAATAAGCAAACCAAACATTTCCATTAGGACCAATCGTAAATCCTCCAGCCTCATTGGCTCGATAGGCTCCCGCTTATTGCGATCTTCTAGTACTAACCAGCCCATATCTAAGAACTCCACAAAAATGTGACGCTGCCAGTAATCAATGAGACCCGCCTCGCTTAGATACAATACATGTTTATGCATTGCTTCGCGATGTATTGAGTTCCTCTGTAAAGCCAGAACCATGGGATATCTCGCACCCAGGCAAATATTTGAGAGTCGAAAGAGCGGACGCGTAAAATACTTTTGTTGTTCTTCGTATAAAGGCCACATATCAGTAACCAAAAATGCATAGCGGGTATCCAGTTCATCCCGTTTTAAATGATATGCCGAATAGTTTTCAAATATCGTGAAATTATTTGCATACTTTCTATACCTTTTTGTATTCGAAATCCATATCAGATATTTCATGCTGCCAGCCACTTTTATGCCACGCTCTAGTAAATCATCAATCGTTTGGACGGGTGATGCAATCGGTGCGTCCACAATAAAACTTCCCAGATAAGCACCATAAGCGGTGCCAATTATAACACCCGCGATTGAAATGGTGAATAACATAATTTTTTGTATGAAAGTTTTACACTTTGCACCATCAAACGGTAGGCCCAATAAACCAATGAAAATGGAAAAATTCATGATATCAGCAGTGATTGTAAGTTGACGTTTGTGCTCCCACCGGAACACCAACTGCCATACAATAGTGTATAATATTGATGTTAAGCAAAACAGCACTGCCACTGTTTCTTGCACAATGTTGTAGTAGAATGTAGCCTTCGGTAAAGGCTGTTCCATGGGCACCATCAAAACCAATTCGCTGTAATAATATATAACCGGTAAACCCGCATCGAGGAACTGAGTGTAAAACGGTGTGGATGAAGTCAAATCGATGGTATCATTATCGAGGAGTTGTACACTATCACTACGCTTTATAACACTATTCTGATAACTTCTTGTGGGTGCAATTGTGGCATTATAGTAACGAGCGTATTCCGCCAAGCCTCTGCCCACAAACCCGCTCAGTTGGGCTGGCCCACCAACTTTCGGTGTGTAATAATAGATTTGTGGATACCAAGAGAATTGTAGTAAGCGTATCGGGTGGCCATGCATATTCGCAAGTGGTTTTGGAAATATATTACTGTGATCAGTGGCAAATCTGCATTTGAACGTCTCTTCTTTGGGAAATATACGCAAACACCAATAATTTCCCGCCGTCACTGTCATACGTGGCTGCAGGGCAATCACATGAAACGCTCGATGCTTCACACATATTTTCATTAAATTTGCGACATACATCTCACTAGCCAAGTCATCGAAGAGTAGTATTAATCGCGTTTGTGTATTTCGCAAGAGACGTTGCCATAATGTCTTCAACAGACGTTCATCGAGTTCAGCTTGCTGATTGAGTTTAGCAATGGTTAGGATATCTTTATTGAAACGTTGTGCAAGTTCCTCGACCGGCGGTGTGTGGTCGAAATGTATGAGTGGTTGTGTTGGCAGTCTCTTAGCCAAAGCGGTTAGGATATGCTCAGATTGTAGACTGTGCAATGGTGCAGGCACATCATGATGCTCGTAAGTGGTATAAATTAAGGTATTTATGCTACGATCTTGGCTGGCGGCGTGTACAATATCCGTTAGTGTTTGTAGGTATTTTTGGTGAACCGTTGTTACTTGCAGTATCAAATGTAGTAGTGTTGTGATGTTGCCACCGTTGTTGGACATTTTCGCTTTTCTCTTACTGCGATGCGTGCTACTTTACACTTAAATGCTTTTTACTTAGTGACTTGCGACTGATTTGTATTTATAGTGAAATCAGTTGAAATGAAATCCAAAGGGAAACTAGATATTGAATAAAACAACAAATTATTATTTTTGAAAATTCTCAAACAATTTTAATACTTTTTTTAATTTTATATTAACCATTAATCTCTTGAACACACATTTTGGCCGCACTTCTGAACGCCTCACGATTTCCTGTGCACACTTTTATTTGAAAATTTTCTGTGCGATCACAACAGTGGAGAGGTATGTAGTGCGTACTGCCTTTCGGAAGGTAAGAATTCATGTACTACTCCAACCAACATCCAAAATTATGGCGTAAATGTCAAGTCCTCTGAGTGAAATTAGAATATGAAATAAAATCTCATCACAGAACTTCAGTAGTCGTTGAAGAGGCAAGCTGTAAGACTTTTCATTTTCTGGAAAACATTAAAATGCATGCCGCAAATAAACAGAAGAGCTCGGCCGAAAATCAACTCTGCATTTACCAGGCTCCAATTCTAAGCTTATAATATATTTGTGCGAACTTTCGCATCAGAAAACCAATAAAAATTAATTTTCTAGTCATAAATTTTTAAAAATATACCTCGGCATTCGAGCCAACGACTAACTGAATGTCAGAAGTATACTTATAACATCTAGTTGTGTTACCTATGGAAAGCTAACTAAACAAATGGGATTAAGTATTTGCACCATTAAAAAATAAAATCATATTTGCCTCGAAGGATCTCTGTTGTTTCGTTTCGTAATCAAAGTTTATTTGCTCCTGTTTATTTGTTCAACAAGAAGTTTGTATACGAAGCTGATTGCAAAGCGCAATTAAATTTTTACAACAAAAAATAACACATAAAAGACGAGACAAATATAGACACCCTCTTGAGTGAATTTAATTAATTTTAATTTTGATTTAAAACACTCCAAATAAACCAAAAGTCGAACTCGAAACAATGAAGGAAAACTCAGTTAATTGGAAGGTGGAAATATGTAAGCTATTGGACCTCACTTCTTCACAAACAATAACGACGAGACTGTCACTGTCTATTTGGAGCGTCAAGGTCGGGTGATGATCTGTTTTTTTTTTGGCTCACTGCCCCAAAATATGGTTTAATGGCAAGAAAGTTTTTTACCCACGTAGATTGTATATGGGTATTGTAGTGTAGGCGAATAATATGGTATACCATAATTTTTTCTCGGAAAATATAAGTGTGAAAATAATGGATCCATTTGAAATAAGTCGGCTTTCTCCGAATATTAATAAATCAATATTTAAATGTAGATTTCCAAGCGATCCCAATAATCACTCGTAATAAAAAGGCTTTGTGATGCAATGAACTTTTTCTGCACGGACAAAACGATTTCTATCAGTATTATATTATTAGAGAGTTCAAGTAATATTTGAAAATTAATAATTTATAAAAAAACAACACGATACACTTCATAGTAGTAATTCGTTTTAGTTTTCTCGCACCTAAAAATATGGCGAAAAAAATTAAAATACGAAAGTGGCAAACAGAAAAAAATGCCATAAAAAAGTGAGGAAAGGAGAAATGGGCACTCTTTCGGCTTCTAAAACTTCCAGTGTTCCAGAACTGGGACGGGAAATATTATCTGCAGCAGTACATAGAGAGTTGGGGAAATATTTGTTAAAGATAGTTGCGAACCACCGGAGACTAGCAAAGGCAGCTGTTCGGTCTTTGGGATAGAAAAATTCAAAGAAGAACAATATTTTCAATAAATTCTTTAGCTGGCGGTCGCAGTAACCGAAAGCTCGGTCTCAAATCCCGGTGCCACGAACATCCAAAAGTTGTAGAAAATTAATATAAATATAAAATTAATTTAAAATTTCTATATACCGTCGCCCCTCGGCAGGGAATGCCAACCTCTTCGAGTATATTTCCGACATGACATAAAGCTCCTTATACAAAAAAATCATCAGCCGTTCGGTGGCGGCTTAGCATAAACTGTAGGTACTTTCATTTTGTTGAAAAACATCAAAAAGCAAAACCACATATTGGAGGAGGAGGAGTTCGGCCGAAAAATCGCTTCAGCGGTTACAAAGCGCCAATTATATCGATAGTTAGCACCATCAGAGGACACGTTAAAGCGTGGGATATATCTCTCCACCACCTAACCTTATAAGAAATTCAAGTAATCGGAAAAGCAGAAAAATTGAGGCGGCAGTTTTTATGACATTTTACATAAATATTATGAAACAAGGCATTATTTCCGTTAATAAAAAATCAAAATGCCTCCATTAAATCTCTAGTAACAAAATTAAACAAAAGAAGCATTCTTGCTGAGTAATTAGGTGATTCCAATCCAAGTCATAGTTAAGAGTTTCCAGACATTCCACAAATAAAATTAGATCTTCTTGGAACTATTGTGCCGAAAATAATGCTTTTCTAAAACCACGGGTTTTATGTTTTCAATGCGAACAAATTTAGACTCCTGAGAAATGTATTCGGAACTGAGATATAATTTTTCCTTGCGTTTCTTGCGAATAACGACACTGTTTACGCGTATAACCCTGATCAACAGCGATAACATCTACATAGAGATGCCGCTGCTGTCTTTTGTTCTAACATAAGTGATTCTTCAAATTTATGGGAAGTGTCTAGTTAGCCCCGTTAAGATTAAATACCAATATTGCCGACCTTAGCCTCTTCTTTTGATCCAGCAGCCACAGCAGCAACATCTCAGGTGAGTGTGTGTTTTAGTTCGTTTTATGTAGGCCTGTATATATACATACTTGCCTTCAATGAATTTCTTAATAATTAATGCGATAATGCTTCAATTTTTTTTATTGAGAGCTTGGCGACAGGCCGGTAGATAGCGTTCTTTTTCAGCTTTCTGAAGGACCGGCACCTGCCCCCCGATCCTCTTGAATTCCGGCCTCTAAATAACGACACGAAGCAGGCACTTTTTCAAAATGTTCCAATTTAATAAATTATTATTTTTTTAAATGAAGTGATTTCACATTGCAAACATTTCATTAACTCACATATTTAACATACAAAAAATTATTTAAAATTGAGGTTGACCCTTTATGCGTTCTGATCCATTTGATTTTATGTCTGCCAGTTCTTGAAATTAAATATTACTTTTTGAACTTACAAACAATTTGTGTTATTTTTGGAGTGCGGGTATTGTAGTACACTATACCACATTACCTGTCAAACTTTTTCGATGGCCACTTACTGGCTTTTGAAATTCTTTATTCAAATATTTCCGAAACTGTCAACTGTGGATCTAATGCCTTTTGCTACGCATGTTTGTAATATTTGTATGATTTAAAAGCTCAATTTTTAATTAATTTTGCTTAGAAAATCTAGATTTTAAAATGGAAAATAAAATGGGTGTTTCACATTTCATAGAAAAGCGTGCAGACATTCAATGGAAGCGTGGTATAACTCTTCCTGTGAGATAGTATTTTCCCCCTTTACCATCGGCTTCATTCAGGTGGCAAGATCCTACGATACGCTCTAAAAAAATGGCGTGGATTAACTTTTCTTAAAGGAGCGTATAAATGAAGCTACGGATATTTTCAGGAAGACTCACAGCAAACAAATTAATACTTATCATTTAATGCCATAATAGCTCACTAACCAGAGAGTTTACAGGCACCTTTAATACACACCAAGCATTTTAGATGCCTCTAAATTTCATTCTTTCATATCCTCTACAATAACGGTATCAGTATGCGTGCTTAAATTTCATTTCCATTTTTCCTGTTTCGTTCAAATTTAATAATCACTATTTTTTTATATGTTTTACATGCCAAGAGCCGCAATCCACAATGCCAATAAATAAATATCTATCGCTCGCAGTAAACAATTGTTCGCATATTTGCTCTATGGCCGGAGGCACAAAAAAAAAACGTAATAAAAAGAAATATTTAAATATACATATATACAGAGCTGTGGCCAAATATTTGACTGTGGCTTATTTGTTTTTCCAGGTTGTCGACTTTTGCGCATACACACACACAGCACAACACAATACACGTACAGTGGTTGAGCTACTCGTGTATGTACTAGTAGCAGGACCGTGCTTTTGAGACCACAGAGACTAGCGATGCAGACACAACCGATGCAGATACAACAATTAAATGGAAGCGGTAACTTTTGTTTTTTAAACTCTTGTTTTAATCTAGCTCGATTTTATTTTTCCATGATGGTTTTTTAATTGAATTATTCCTTCTCTGAAATACGTTTTATAGAAAAACGGCGCTGATTTTGAAAATATTTTAGTCTAACACTTTTAAAACTTGCACATTTTCACTGTTCACAAGAACAGTTGCCAGCTTATGTAAGCTTCACCATACGGGTTTTAGCTAAGGAGAACTTTTGAATAAATTTCAATTTTTTAAGAAGTTAAGGGATTGCCATTATGATAAGTGCCCGCCACAGCTCAATTTTTTATAATTTTTCGCTGAATTTTCCCTACCGAGGCGACTAATCGTTTTAGGCTTATCTGCATAGACATGCAGCTTCACATAACCATGCGACAGGCCAATAGCAAAAGTGATCCTCAATAAATTGTATGACTCCAAGGGAATGATATTTCTACTTCTGAATTAACTAAATTTTTATTAATTGTTCCGAATACTATTTTTTGGTTGATTTCAAAATTCAGTTAATTTTTCAGTTGAACTGACGTTTGAAAAAGAATTCAACAGAAAATTCATCTGAAAAAACATCTAGCAATTACCGAAGAACGTTTGCCGTACGAATGAAATTTTCCAATAATAAAAAGGCGTTGAAATATTTGTTGGTGAATTCTTCTCAAAAACAACTACATAACGCCAAGTTTACAGCTACAGAATATCTGAGCACTTAATTGCGGTACCTACATATCCAAGGAAAAGTGAAAAAACAACAATAATTAAAAGCGGCACACATGTAACTTAATTGAATAACCATTGGCTCCTGCTGTGGGCATTC